TGGCCAGAGTGCTTTACTGCAAGCGTAGCTAGAGAGTCCTCAGAGCAGGCCCGTCTTCCTGAGCCATCCAGTGCCTTTCAGAACAGCGGCTCCTTGTGCTGTCGGAGGGGAGCGTTGATACTTAGTGCATTAACTAGGATGAAAATACTGATGTCGTTGCTTTCTTCTAGGTTGCCAGAATATTTCGTTGTTCCCATCGCTCTTCCTGAAGAGGATATTTCACACTTTCAGGGTCACGGCATACCAGTAAGTGCTTACGGAAGCCCCACGAGGCCTGAGTTGGCCCATCCTGACAAAACTATCGTGCCTCCAGCTCTTTGGCTCTGGTATTAAAGAGCTTATCTCAGTCTGAAAACAGTCCTGGAATATCCTTGGGAATCCCCAGAGATGGTGCTAAAGTCTCTAAAACAGGAGGCTCCCCAGACAGATAGAAAGTTTTCACAAATGCACTTGAGCTTTTTTCCCCTTTAATTAATCATTATATTGGGGACTCTTACAAATCTTAAGAGAATACATCATTCAATTGTATTGAGCACACCTATACAGATGTTGTCATCAACATTTCCAAAACATTTTCTTTCTACTCGAGCCCTTGGTATCAGCTCCTCTTTTTTCCCTTCCCTCCCCCTGCACTTGAGCTTTTAACACAGACATCTTTAAAGGGCTTTGGGAGGATTACAGATCTGCCTAGTGCTGAAAGACCAATTTAACAGCTAGATGTTTTGAAGCTGTGCTGGCTCCTCTCAGGGCTGGCGGGTTGAAGCGGCCTTCTGGCTGCACTATTGATCTCTGTGGGGGGCGTGGTTGCGTTTTCTTCCAGAGAACACGGAGTGCTCGCTTCCTTTCTACAGAAGAGAATGGATGGGAGCCACTTTTCATGTGTCACCGATCAAAGAAAACCAGGCTCTGGCAGCTGACTCCGGGTTTTCACTGGAGGCTGGGAGTTGGCAGGCCTGCAGGGAATTGAGTAGGAATGAGAATTACAAATGAGGCTGTGCTGTACCGGGCTGGTTCTCCGGAAAGGTCGCTCCCGTGTGGGGGGAAGAGGAGTGTTTAAGCAGCAGCGACACATGGGTGGGGGGCAGGCAAAGATCCAGGGTGCCCCTTGCAGTGGACTGGAGAGCCGCTGCCTGATCTGGGGGAGCAGTCCCTCTTCAGGGCCAGCTGGTGTGTGCCACGTGGGAATATGGACCTGGCACTGCCAGATGATCTGTGGTTTTCTTTCTCTTTTTTTTAAGAAACCAGAAATAAGAATTATGATGAGCTTTTCTGGTTTCTGAAAGTGTATGTAACTGACTTCATGGTTTGAAAAAGCACATCTTTGGGAGACTCGACTCGTATTCCACTAGTGTGCAGCCTCTGATCAGAGCAGTGGTTCTCAAACTTGTTGGTTTGGGCTCTCTTAACATTCTTTAAAAAGTGTCAAGGTTCTCAATGAGCTCGTGTTTATCTGGGTTGTATCTATTGATGTTTGCCCTATTAAAAATTAAAACTGAAAAAAAATTAAAACATTTATTCCCTAAATATTAAAACTTGTTACATGTTAACATAAACAATGTGTTTCTATAGGGAAAAACACATATCATCTCCACCCCCAAAATAGCAGCCTTCTAGAAGACAGGAGAGAGCTGACTTTGCATCTGCTTCTTGCATTCGGTGCGTCAGGTTTAGCTGAAGTACATGATGAAATCCAACCTCACACCAACCTGGAAAGGGAGGAGGAGTAGCCGATAAGTAAGTGTGACTATTACTGTCTTTGATGGGAGCCCAAAATGGGTAAGAGGCAGTGTTACAAAAGTTGCACTAAGGAGTCTACAAACACATCAGTGACCTCTTCATTTTCTACAATATCAAAATCCACTGGCCTGTCTTGCACTTGAATGTGCATGTGAAAGTTGAACATTGCATGAGGAAGACCAAAGAAAAATCTATGCATTTGAATTATGGCGCTAGTGATGAATATTGAAAGTACCGT